AGATATAGCACCCTCGGTGAATTTCATCTTCAGTGAACATTAAAAATTCTCTTTTTTAAAATATGAATTTGGAGAAATATAATTCTAAAATGCAAGTATTGCATTTATATGTATAACTTATACATATCTGATATACAGTATAACCTGTCAAATCCGATATGCATGGTGGCCAAAATTTGTATCAGGTTATCAGATTTGAAAGGTTAATAATTTATAATTATAAATGATTATGATTGGTTAGATTATATTTATTATATATAAATTTGTTACATAAAATATAATTTGAGCCAATCAAATTAATTTAAATTATCTTTCAAATTCGATATATTATAAATATTTGATTTTTTAAGTATCATTTATCAGGTTTAACAGGTTATTAGATTTGGTTTAAGGAATGAGCATGGTGGATCAATTTTTTATCAGTTTTGACAGGTTATCAGTTATGACAGAATCAGATTTGACAGGTTCTACTGTATATTGTTACAATGCTATGTATTATATTAAAATAAAGTTTTTCAAAAATGTAAATTTGTTAATTTTTATAAAGATTATATAATACAATATATGCATATATTTGATATGTATGAATATATACTGTAGTAACAAAAAATAAAAATTATAAAATTCTTTTTTGTGTTACTAATAAATAAATATAAAAATATTTACTATAATTTTTTTGATTAGTTATACTATAAAGATAATAAGCCATGCTATTGTATATACCAAAATTTAAAAATAAAAAAGAAAGTATATTTTTTAGCAATTAATCTTTGTAAAGCAGTTTTGTTTTAAAACTTAAAGAGTATTAAGATTATTTTATTTATTATATTTATTTTTTTTTACAAGAAATATAAATTTAAAAAAATTTTTTTAAATTGTTTTATAAGATATTTTAAACTATTTGTTTTAAAATAATTTAGAAATATCTTATTATAAAACAATAATGCAAGAAAATTGAAGTTTGAAATTTATAAATATTTTAAATAATTGAATACTTATGTATGAAGACACAGGTAATTGTTTTTATTTAGATAAGTCAGAAATCGAATAATGTTTTATTGAAGCATGAAAGTAAGTCTTTAAATACATTTTTAATATATATAAATAATTAAGACTGCTTTACTATTAGGTATATGTCCTTTTGTTTTTGCTTATACATGATTATTATCTTTACTATTCTTGGCTTCTCTAGTCATCTGAAAGCATTTTTTTTAAAACCAGTAATTGCAATTGTGAATGATGGCAATTTATAATAATTAAATGCCATATGGTTATCTTGAATAACTAATATATTCAGAAAAATATTTTATTTATAAGACCTTTACTAATCTTATTGATAAGTAGTCTCTTTTACTTAGTCATTGTGGCTGTATAGCAATTTCTGCTAAGTCAAAAGCCCTATTTGTCTTAGAAGTATCACCTGATTTTTTATCACACATCAATTCCTATGTGTGTATGAATATCTATATATGGTAATAAGTATGCTATATATAATAAAAATAAATTGGGTAAGACTAAAGATTCAAAAATAAAAATAAAATAGTTGTACAGTTAAGGGTTTGAATAAGGGTTTAACCAAACACTGCATTTAACCAAGGTCATAGAATCACATGATCTTACAGATATGTATATCTGTTTTATTTCAGAACTTTTGGATCTATTTAGGTCTAACAGTACTGTACTAGGGGCATTCTACAGCTGATTGAGTATATGGGGTAATTAATAGAAACCAAGCAAATATTTTTTAATAAGTTTTTTTAAAAATTTCAAATAAGAATAACTTAACAAAACTTGATCAAATTCAATAAAATTTTTTTTAAATTAATTCTACAAGTTTGTAAAAATTATTTAAAAAAATTTTTATTAAGTTTTGGTCAAGTTATTCTTTTTAAAATTTTATTATAAAAAATTTGCTTGATTTCTATTGACTCACCCCTATATATTTAAAAGGAATTATTAATGTTGATCCAAATACAACCAATTTTTTTTTATATTAAGAATTTCTTATGAATTTCTTATATCGAGAGTTATTTGTATTAAATATACTTAAAATACTGATAAAAAATTTGATTTTTGTTTTGATATGTACATTTGGGAATATTTCGAAATGGCTAAACCATGCGTTACAATTATCGTGCCGGTATACTAAGATAATTTACATTATAGATATAATTTGAAAATAGTTCTGATCAACAAATATGTATTATCAATATAAAAAAACATCAGGTTCTCAGGTTTAGCATTCTTGAAACAATGCATTGCAGATGATTTAGATCCAATATGCTTCGAACAAACATTTTATGTAGGAGGCCTTTGGAATTTTGTTGAAATTGACGATGATGAAAATAAGGATCCGCATTTATCAATTTATAAAATTCTTATTACTAATGTCTCTAAAGAAATGGTGTGTAACTTATGAGATATTTATATTATATATTTATTGATGTTGTATAGTTGAGAATTTTTCTGTTTACTGTATCAAAAATATATAGATGACATTTTCAGATTTTCCAATTCCTGCTGAATAGCCATCTTATTTACATAATTCACTTCTCACAAAGTACTTTTATTTTATTTTTTTATTTGTCTCTTCCGCATCCTGTAAATCAAATTACTTACTATGATTACCTTCTATATATTAAAAAAGATGTATGCCGATCACTTTAAACTTAGGTCATACATCAAATTTTGTACAATAGTTGTTCATATATCCTATCATCCTGATCATTGTTGGAAAGTTAAATATATTACTTGTGTAAATAAAGATCGAACTGATGAAAATCACAATCATGAACTTGAAGAAATTGATTTTGTTATGGTTTGTAATGAACATCATAGGAAACATAGGTGACCTAAATATAAAGGGATGAACGAATTTAAAGGTGAACAAACTCACTCCCATTTTTACAGGCGGTAAGTAAAAAAAAAAAATGGAGATAAATAAAAATAAGTAAAATGGATTGTGTCAAATATGATCGATTATGTTTCGAATTTTATTAATTTTATTACGCCAAGTAATATATAAATTATGTCAAATTCATCTTCTTAACATTAAGTGAATTAATTATTACTACATAATAAAATTCCAGAATAGCATCGATTACATTATCATATTTTTAAACCGCCAAGAATTCTAATGCTAAGTAGTATAGTTCATATTAATATTAATGATTGTTGCATTCACCTCACAACACACAGCCGCATCGCCTAGAACAAAGTGCATTATTTTTACGGCATGAAC